TGAATTTGAGATTTTCATTTGTTGTCGTTTGTAATCATCAAAATTAAATGAAATAAACATTTGAAATATATGAGTTTGTATGTAATGTATGAATATAATATACAAGTTTCACTTTTTAAATGGAATTACTGAAATAAATCTACTTTTTCATGATATTCTAATTTTATGACCAGCACCTGTATATTTAGTCTGGTCCAAATACAATCAGGTTGCCCAGGATAGATATTAGTGTCAGATATGAACAGAGATATATTGAAGCCTGACTTAGGACATCTTTTTTGTGACTAATCAGACAGGACAAGACTTCAGATACAAAAAGTATTTTTGAGTGAAACAAACAAAAAAAAAAAACTATGTTGACTTGAATGTACATGTTGTGGACCAGAACAAACTGAACACTGACATGTTCCCGAATTTGTGTCTAATGAATAACAGTGTTAGATATGTTCTTCATCCTCAGCTGGGCTGTATTAAATCATACATGTTGTTCTATGGCACATTCATTTTACAGCTGCAGCATTGTGTACATGCAATCTAAAATTAGGCACATTTTAAAGAGGGTCCTTCAGCAAACACAGCTCAATATAAGCCATTAATAACATCCCCAAGATGTTCAGATTCATCAGCTGTCACTGTTAAAGGCCTTCGGCTAAAGAAACTTGTGTGTTTGTTATGGACAAAGGCTCTTTCCTAACAAATGAACTCCCAGGCACACACACACAGCCAGCAGGAGGTCGATTAGCCAGTCTTGATAAATTGAAACATGGCTTTAGAGAAGTGTGAGTACTTGGGTGGCCTGGTAAAAGCATTACAAATGCAAAGCAGGGTTCTTTTAGATGCTGCCACTGCATGCCTTGCATTTGAAGATAAATGTTACACTGAAGTGCCGCACCCGAAAGGCTGTGGCTGGAAGAAAAATCAGAAGGCTGCTTAATCCCTGAGAGCTCTAGCAGCCTCTTCTGCATATAGGCCCAATGATTCCAGACCTAAAGAGAGAAACACACTTATCCAGCCTTGCTTGAACACACCCCTGTTCCCCAGGCACACAGAGTTCAAAGTGCAGGAAAGTGGCTAAAAAAATCACTCCATTTCTTTGTTCCTTTTTTTTCTTCACACAAAAAAAACTTTGGTCAGAGATATAGACTCAGTGTTACAGACTCAGAGTTATTGTCTCAGTGTTATCGGCACAGAGTTATAGACTCAGGGTTATAGACTCAGAGTTATAGCCTCAGAGTTATAGACTCAGTGTTATAGACTCAGAGATATAGACTCAGTGTTACAGACTCAGAGTTATTGTCTCAGTGTTATCGGCACAGAGTTATAGACTCAGGGTTATAGACTCAGAGTTATAGCCTCAGAGTTATAGACTCAGTGTTATAGACTCAGAGATATAGACTCAGTGAAATTCCTGGTGAAATCCCATGTTAGATGGACCATGTCACATTTTGACAGTGAGGGGAAAAAAAACAAAAGGAAAGTGAAAGGTGCCCCTGACGCATCCTTTTCTCCACCCCAAGCTGTCAGATATCAATCTGAAGTGTTCCTCGAGGGGAGCAGAGAGGCAGCTCTGTATTACAGGATCAGAGAATGGCCGGCTCAGATAAGAAGAATCCAGTGAGCAGCAGATACACACTTCTGTCCCTGCTCATTGCTGACAAAAAAAAACCTTTCAGACATGCACAGGCTTCCATTGATCTGACACAAACTGGACGTGTCAGTGTCTGAATCACTTGCCTTGTGCCAGTAAATTTAGCAACAGCAATCTAACAAGGCATGAAACTGTAACTTGTGTAGGTCATGCCCTCACTTGACTCCTTGGACAACCAGCCCTGCCACCACTATTACCCCACGCCACGTCCCACCCGAGTGACAAAACATAATTGGGGAACCCAAAAACTTTTTAAATAAGCACTTTTTTTGCTACTCAGTTGAACATATAAGAGAAGCAGGCGTTGGTGGTTATAGAGGGGCAAGACAAAAGTCAAGAGATTTCTGTTAACATCAGGTACATGACCTCTAAACCATAACCCAGGTAGTTTAAAACCAATTATCTTATTAATACAATAATTTTATAGTCCAGTTCAGAATCCCAACAATCAGTATTTCCTTAAACCCACTCCTTTCAGTTCATTAACCCCAGGCTGGTGTGTGTAACATGTCCCAAGCAGATGGGTTGTAAAGTGCTTGGACTAGTGTAGGTTGTAGGGTAGAGAAAACCATCACGAATGGGAAAAAAAAGTTTGTTGCCTGCTAAGAGCCTCCTACCAGCCTGGCAGGAGAAGCAGGTCTTCACACAATAATAGTGCAGTCTTTTTAGGCTCGAGGCCTGGATCATCAGCTCGCCATCGATACCTGGCCAATTCCGTCATTTTAAAACCTCATACTACCCTCTTTTCATCCCATTTTGGCTTACAGTAGGTGACTCCTGCAACTCTGCTCCTCTCAACGTGTCCTATTTCCTACCCTTCAGCTCAAGCTAATATGCCCAACTGATAGGCTGTGGCAGCTCATGTGACCCCCAATAACCCACAGCGATTGGCTGTGCATCTATTGAATAATCTCGCAAGAATTATCATTCAATATATTAGAACTATCGCAAGATTTTACAGTGGGAACAAGAGAACAGAAGAACTAAGGGGGATAAAATAATGGGGTTTAAACGCGTTTCCCTTTAAAGACAAATCTGCAATGCAGCAGACAAAACGTCAATACCAAATGAAAGAGAATGTGGTGAATTGTGTTTTCTAAGATGTTAAACATGATTAAAACATTTATGCAAAGGAGAAACAAGTGGATTCTCCCTTACAGCTTCTTCACATGCATCATTTCAACTATTTTACTCAGATCATTTTAAATGTTCTAGGCAGGAGGGCAAGGTAGAGGGGAGTCGAGGAAGAACTGTTCGCTCAATAACTCATAGAAGCCTTAGTGTCTCTTGCTAACAAAGATATGAGAACAGTTATCCTATCATTATTTACCTCCAGGTTAGATTACAGTAACTCTTAATTTTGGTTTCTGTGTTGTCTCATCTGCAGCTGGTTTAAAATTCTGCAGTCAGACTCCATCCAGATAAGAGACAGAACTGCTCATATATTGGCATTTCTTCACTGGCTTCCTGTTCAATATAGAGCCTGTGCAGCTTATGTCAGAGTATCACATGGTCTGTGCTTATCCCTCATGTGAATGGTAAGCTTGATTACTCTAAAACGTTGGAAAAATTTCCCTCAAATCACCAAAATAATCTTGTCATGCTTGACAATAGGCTGTGCAAATTGTCAAGAGGTTATTCTATTTATTAAGAATTAAATAAATAATTTAATGGCATGTGATTTACTGAGGTCCTAAGATTGGTTCTGCAGTGAAACTATTAAACAATTAAACTCAACAATCTAAAGGAAGTACAGGTTGTAACAAGGTCAGGGCTGGGTTACCCATCAAATGCAGCATATGATCCATATGTATGGCTCCCTCTATTCTAAAGCATGAAGTGAGGATATCTTTCTATGAGGGCTACACAAACTTTAAAGGAGACATCATGCTTTTAAATCCTTCTTTTTCTCATTTAAATCATTCTGTTGGGGTCTACATACATAAAGTGGAACTGTAACGCTTTGGTCTGAATTCCTCCTTATTGTAACTCCAAAAGGCCCTCTTTCACCTCATTTCTGAGGTGCGTCTCAGATCAATTCATTTTGAAGCTGTCTCTTTAAATCCAAACAAGGTGCTTCACGCCCCTGTTTACTTTATACTACTTCTGAAACCTATAACCTAGTGTAATACAAGCCACTTGTTTATGAAACGTGGTACACTTGGTGGAATGTAAGAATTGGAAGAATTATATTTTCATTTTTAATTTTAAAATATTGTATATTATACCAAAACAAACCAGCCAGTTCTATATTCCTTCATTTTCATAGTAATTCTTATTGGTTGCTTTATGTATTTCTACAATCTTCCTGTTCTTCTAATGATTAAATAAAGTGAAATATTTTTCTTTGGACCAGGATAATTTCTCTTTGTATGTAACCATGTTAGTTCCACTGCAAAAAATAAAATAAAATAAAATAAAACCTGCACCTGTTTGCGTTTTGAACAATTGTTTGAATACAAGCAAATTACTTGTGAAAATTTGGGACAATCTTAAGAGATTGAGCAATCATAATAGAAAAATGAAGTTGATTATTTCCAATCATCATCAACCTGTATATTAGCTTACCTAAAAATACACAAGAAATATGCAGAAAAAGTTCTTTTGGGGTTTTATCAGTACACACCGTGCCTCTCACTTGCTGTTTTTTGGGTTCTGGTGACATTTCTTGTGGGATGAATTTGATTGGTCCTTTTATCTGTCTCCTGGACCTCTTGGTGCCATCAGGCAACGTCTCCATCGCGATGTCGGCTTCATCGCTGCTGGCCTGGTCGCACTCAGAGCATTGCCTGAAACGAAGAAAGTAATGGATAGATGAGGAATAGTTTCATATATATGTACTGACACAAGCTACACAAAAAACTAACTAAACAGCTGAGATAAAAACTGATAGCTGTTCCCACTATTTTAAAAGTTGAAGCCAAACACCCTCACCCTTGTATTGGCCTTATTACTGTTAATGTTCTGATTTGCTCCACCTTATATTTACTCATGAACGAGACAAAGATACTTTACCTTTCACCACCAGGCTGGAGGTAACATCCCACCTTTTGTTCATAAACACAAACAGCAGTCAAAACTTTCCTCCTGCAGCTTGAAGCCACAGAGAGACGACCTTCTTATTCACAGGAAAGAACGGCAGCACCACGGTGCTTTGCAATGGGCATGTGAATACCCCACACCCACTTGATGCAGCTTTTCAAAGGGAAACTCCAAATAAAGGAATTCATCCTTTCTTCAGGAGTTTGTTTTCAGGGACCAAGCTGTGCGTGGAGATGAACTATAACTAGTTTGTATTGCTAAATCTCACACACCATCTCTGGCTTCCTTCCCAATAGCGAGGAGACATTTCATGTCGAAAAGCCAGATTTTGCTGCCTAGAAACAGCACGTCCAAGGCCCTGACCATGTCTGACATCCTGCCCACATTGCACCTGACCTTGTTTACATTCTCAGCAGTTGGTAAGTCCGCACGAAGGAGGCATGCTGCGGCTTCAATCACCAACAGCCAATTTAAAATCTCATCATTAAAAACAACCTACAACGAATATCAAGCAGTGTCAGAAATATGCTGGTCTTCAGACCAATTTGCCATGGAAGACCCAACCAGGAGCTGATGACCCAGAAAACCCAAACCCTCAGAATTATAGAATGCCAGCTCATGAAGACAGCGATTTTACTACGAGAATATTCTACTAATACTTATTGACAATAAGGATCATTCCTATTAGTACATAGTATCAACTATAATTCCTTCACAAGCCATAAATTAATTTAGAACTCTTCTGGATGAAAAGTAAAACTTCCAAAATGAAAGAAATTGAAAAACACTTTCACTATTAAAGGGGTGGGTATTATGCATTCTCCAGGTAAAAAGTTCAATGTTTTACCACAATCAAGTGATTGTGTTACTTTCAGATATAAAAATGCTGCACAAATCAAAAATAAATTTGATTTTGAATCACAGTCTAAACACATTAAAATTGGTCTCTTGGTCTCTTTAAGAACCTCCTACCGTTTCCAACACTCCCACTTCATCACGTCTTCACAACAATGCTTTGGGGAAGAGGGGGGCTCTGTGGGGTGGGAGTTCAGCTGCAGACTGAGCTCCAGGGAGGAGTTTTGTACAAATAGGCTGTGCTTTGATCCTACATGTGTTCAAGCAGCTCCACATGGCTGCAGAAGATTCAAGGATTTCTTAAACATACAATAATGAGTCAAAGCAACACTCGGTATGTTTTTCATGAGGTAATGACATAACATAACATAAAGCTCAAAAAAGTCAATTTTACCTAATACCCTCCACCCCTTTAATTAAACCATTCATATTGAGAGAGTTCCTTCCCTGACTGTCATAAAATCAAATGTACACGTGCAGGAACTGACAGATTGTAGCTTTGGCTCAGACTGAAAATGTTATGCACAGGACAAATTTATTATTTTATTATTTGGCAGCACGACGGTTCAGTGGTTACACTGATGCCTCACAGCAAGAAGGTCCTGGGTTCGACCCCTGGTTCCAACCTGGGCTCTTTCTGTGTGAAGTTTGCATGTTCTCCTTGTGCTTGCGTGGGTTTTCTCTGGATACTCCAGTTTGCCCCACACCCAAAAATCATTTACACTAGGTTGCTTTCAGGCCCAGACCTCCCTTTAACAAAAGATCTGTGATCTCAATGGGATTTTCAGGGTTAAATAGTAAATAATAAAACAAATAATTTGTTTTAATTCTGCGGCATGGTGGCTCAGTTAGTAGAGCTGATGCCTCTCAGCAATAAGTTCACCAGTTCAAATCCCGGTCTGGGGGCCTTTCTGGGTAGAGTTTGCATGTTCTCTCCGTGCATGCATGGGTTCTCTCCGGGTACTCCGGCTTCCT